GAAATCTGTATCGTCATATTCTCCACCTGATTACGAATCCCAAGGTGTTCGACGAATATGGCGGTGTAAGTCAGCTGATTGGGATGAGATGCGACACTTTTTTGCATCTTATCCTTGGCGGGAGGCCTGTTTCTCTTCTGTGGATCCGTAGAGCTGCACGGTTGCGATAACGGATGAGTTGCGTCAAGCTATGGAGTATTTTATTCAGTTCTCTGACACTTCCACCGGTAGCAAAGCTCACCCATGGTATAACACTGAATGCGCCCAAGCTGATAAGCGCAAGCATTCAGCGTACCTATCCTCGAAGGTTAACGCTCGAAACCGTAAAGCTCCGGATATTAGCTCCAAGAAGAGAACTTTCAACCAGACCGCCAAGTCCTACAAAAAAGCATCACGGAAAGCTAGTCTCGATCGCATTAAACATATTGGCGCAAAACTCTCTGCCAGACCATACGGCACTAGAGGTTTTTGGTCTCTCGCCAAAGCGGTAGAGACAAACTTCTGTCAGCCTACATTGCCTCCGCTGGTAAAACCGGATGGCACACGTGCGCATACGTCTAAAGAGAAAGCGGACTTGTTCGTGTCTCTCTTTGCCTACAATTCACGTCTGGACAGTGGCAACAACGACCTGGACTGGACCTGGACAGTGGCTCTATGTCGGAGGTTCGTATAACAAATAAGGAGGTTCTGAAAACCTTGCGGTGTCTAGACGTGAATAAAGTTAGTGGACCAGATGGTATACCAGCTATAATTCTAAAGGCTTGTGCACCTGAGTTGTCTCCTATGCTGACACGCTTGTTCCGCCTCTCATTTAGGATTGGAATAGTGTCAAAATCCTGGAAGCTGGCCAACGTGCAGCCTGTTCTAAAAAAAGGCAGCCGTGCCGACCCTGTCAATTATCGGCCAATCTCAATTACCTCCATACTCTGCAAGGTTATGGAGCGTATATTAAACGCCCGCTTAATGGCATACCTAGAACAGAATCCTCTTTAGTGACCGGTAATATGCGTTTCGCCGAAATGTGTCAGCTGGGAACCTTCTAGCGTATGCCACCCACGTATGGGACGAGGCACTCGAGAACAGTGGAGAAGCACTTGCTGTTTCCCTTGATGTCTCGAAGACCTTTGACAAAGTTTGGCACACTAGCCTTTTGGGTAAGCTTCCAGCGTACAGCTTATCCCCTGGTCTGATTGAATGGGTGAAGGACTTTCTGAGTGAGTGGCCTCTCCGGGTCGTTGTCGTTGGCTACTCATCTGGTCCTATGGTGACTAACGCCGGTATTCCTTAGGGGTCCGTTCTCTAAGTAACTCTCTTCCTGCTGCATATTAATGATCTGCTTATGCCCGGTATCTATGGGTATGCAGACGATAGCACAGTTGTGGAGAGATACCAACCAAGTCCTCGGATCAGTCGGGATCAAATCCAGTCCGAAAGAGAAGCAATGGTAGAGCGTGTGAATCTCAAACTACATGCAGCCTCCGAATGGGGCGATGCCAATCTTGTGAAATTCAACGCCTCCAAAACACAAGCGTGTCTTTTTACTGCAAAAAGGAGCCAGTTCACCTTGGCATGGACATTTTGAAAATTTAAAAATTTGATTTGTTTCATAAACTTGAGTGATTTCAAGGTTAAAGTGATTATTTGGATAAAAAAATACCATGAAATTTGTGATTTGTTGATAACATCGGATTAGCATCGCCCTACGCGTGCCTAATTACCTATGTATGGGCAAGTCCTAGGACCTAGGTATTATAATATAATTACCTATATCGATGTCGCATGAGCAATGAACCGCTGGCCGCGACGTTGCCGCTTCTACAAGTCATTTCAGGTCAGTTAAGTAATATTATCAAGGATGATTTATTTTACGTGATTTTTTACCCTATTTATTTTGTTTGAAAGATGCATTTTTTATTAGTTTTTATTATTGTTTATTTTATTATTTTAACAGACATATATCAACTTGTATTAACTGTTGTGCTATTTAACGTGATAACCTGGGCGCCACCCAGTATATAGAATAGGGTGACAAACGAGCACACAGTCCACCTGATGGTAAGTGGTACGCATTATTATTAACCATACTACTAATATAGCTGCTGCATGGCTCTACCACGTAAAATATATATATATACCTAAGGTGTGAAAAATGGAAAAGGTCTCTACTAATCTATCTGGACGCAGCTGAAGTTATATCAGCACTCAAGAAACGAGCTACGCTATTGCATTTTGGTGGCTCTGGGATACAAGAAATATTCTACAATTTACCGGGTGCCAATGTCGAATCATCAGAAACCGTTGATGTATTTAAAGTAGCCATAAAAAACTCGACGAGTATTTTCAACCCAAACGGAGCAAAGTTTATGAGCGGCATGTTTTTCGATTGCTAAAACAGGAAAAAGGAGAAACATTTGAGAAGTTTTTGATAAGATTGCGTCAACAGGCCGAAAAGTGTGCACTCGAAAAGCAAGATGATCATCTCATAGATCAAATTGCGGAAAAGTGTAATTCGAAATTGCGCAAGAACCTTATATCTTACAAAACGTGGGAAGAGTTAAAAAAGCAAAAAAGGATATGCTTTTAATCAAATGTAAAGACCAGACAAGATATTATTAGCATATGGTAGTAACTCTCCTTTGGCAATAGAGGATTCATTTGAAACTATACTCGAAGTCGATGGACGAAAGGAACATACAACCATTTACGTGATTTCGGGGGGTACTAGAGATCTGTTGTGTAAGAACACAGCAGTCCATCTGGGTGTCTTAAAACTTGGTATCGGGATAAATCAAGTGGAGAGTACCGATCCCCATTAAAGAGAAGGTTGCAATCAAAATTAAGGAATCACTAAACAGTGATATAATTGAAGAAGTGCAAGGCCCGTCTAAATGGGTTTCACCAATGTTCCAATCATGAAAGAAAATGGTGAATTACGTCTGTGCGTAGAAATGAGATGCACGAACGCTGCTATATTGCGAGAAAAACCACCCCCTGCCTACTATGGACAATTTTTGCCTAAAATGAAGAAAGCTAAATATTTTAACAAATTAGACATAAAAAAATGCCTTCCATCAAGTGGAAATTCACTCTGAATCCAGACACATAACGACTTTTATAACCCTCAAAAGATTATATAGATATAAAAGAATAATGCTTGGAATTACCTGCGCTTCCGAGATTTTTCAGAAGATCATTGAAAAGATGCTGATAAACTGTGAAGGGGTCGTCAATTTTATTGATGATATCCTGGTATTCGGGAACAGTGAAGAAGAACATGACGCATGACTAAAGAAAGTTCTACAGGTACTTAGTAAAAACAACGCCGTGCTGAATAGCAATAAATGCATATATAAAACGCAGGATGTGAGTTTTCTGGGACACAGGCTTACACATGAAGGAGTAAACCCTTCAACAAGTACGTTGAGAGCATTATGAAATTTAGGGTCCCAAAGACCTCCCAAAGTCCAGCCTCGGGCGAGAGTGGACGTGTTTAGTTAAGTGCGTGCCGAGCCTGTGTTACACTACAGTGATTAGAGAAGATAGCAGACAATACACTTACTTTATTCTTAGGACTGGCAAGAAATTACGAGCTTTGTTTTTAAATTATTACAGGCAACCATATTCTGCAGTTACTTGTTAACAATCAAATGGATAGCTGCTAGACACAAGTTTGCGCGTTAACCGCTAAAAAGAACCCCTTTGTCGTATCTCCTCAGTTTCAAGGCACTCCCCTTCTTGCCTCAGCCAGTATCGGAATCCTCGGCGTCGACATATCGAGTGACGTGCAGTTTCGTAGTCACTTGGAAGAAAAGGCCAAATTGGCCTCTAAAAAGCTTGGCGTGCTCAGCAGAGCGGGACAGTATTTCATGCCGGCACACCGCCTGCAACTTTACAAGGCGCAGGTTCGGCCTCACATGGAATACTGTTCCCATCTCTGGGCAGGGGCTCCCCAGTGCCAGCTCCTTCCACTTGACCGCATCCAGCGCAGAGCGGCTAGAATCGTCGACGACCGAGCCCTTTCCGATCGGCTCAATTCATTGGCACTGCGAAGAGATGTTGCATCGCTTTGCATTTTCTTTCGCATCTACCATGGGGGTGCTCTGAGGAATTGTTCGGATTAATCCCAGCCGCCAAATTTCACAAACGCACATCGCGGCAGAACTCCCGATACCATCCACACCATCTGGATGATTGGCGGTCCACCACTGTGCGATTTAGAAGATGTTTTCTTCCTCGCACGACTTCCTTGTGGAATCGATTACCATCAGCGATTTTTCCGGACCGATACGACTTAGGGACCTTCAAGAAAAGAGCGTACTCCTTTTTAAAAGGCCGGCAACGCATCTGCAATTCCCTCCCTGGTGTTGCAGTTGTTCATGGGCGGCGGTAGTCACTTACCATCAGGTGAGCCGCATGCTCGTTTGCCACCGCTCCTATAAAAAAAAAAGTTTGCAAGTCTAATTTTATTAAAAAATTAAACACTTCTAAAACAAGAATTTTAAATCTACTAACAAACCATCAGACCTTTTTACAATCTCAATTAAATTAATACCTATGTTTGGAATCACTGTATACTAACTTCTTTTTTTTAATAGAATAATGGTGACAAGCGAGCACACAGCCCACATCATGTTAAGTGAATGCTACGGCCCATGGACATCTACATTCATAGCCGATTGAGAAAAGATGGAATGCCTTGTTACCAGTAAAAAAAGTCTGCGGTTCTCTAACACTCTCCATACGAAATACAAGCATTATTTTACTGTTTCATACTGGTTGGTATTCTATGAGTGGGTAGTCCTACGCCTGTTGAGCTGAACACTTTGTGCCGCAGCTAAAATATATATATAGCTGCGGTGTAGCTGTACCGTGTAAAAACACTTTCACATTTTTTAGACTTTCTTAAATATTTTGTATGATGGAAATTTTGTCTACCCCAGATTGGCCTGGAGACTTTTTATTTGATTTATTTAACATTTTGAATACAAACAGTAGAAATATTAAATAAATAAAACACTTACAACTTCCTGCATAATTTCCTCCTTACTTTTCTTGACCAAGGTTGGTTTTTCTTCAGGTTCTATTTTCACAGCAGGTACTTCTTCCTCAGGTTCCTTTTCTTCCTGAATACTCTGCTCTGATTCAGGTAGAGGCTGTTCTTCCTTGTTTCCATCTTCATTTTCAGAATCTGAGTCCTTAATATGCAATAAACGAAATTAGAACATAGTGTTATATACCACATAAACACAGACAATACTTCGAAAAGCAGCATCAAAGATACAAGAGGTCTTTTTTTACCAATTATAAGCCAATGCTTGACTAATTTCCCCCTGTGTGGTACCGTAACTACCAAATCGCTTGCCAACTGTAGTGATTAAGGCAAATTGTGCTTACAATTGGAAATACCTACGTCCAGCAATGGACTTTTACCAGGTGTTTTTTTTATACAGGGCTATTATTCAAAGAGCAGACAAATTGTAAACTTAAGTTCAAATATATAAATAACTATTGCAGTTTTTGAAAATACGAGTAAATAACGCTTCCATTTTTATTTAAAATTATCTCAAATTGAATGTGATTTATGAGCAATAACGTTTTTGCCTACCGATCGACTCTTGTCGACGAATGTGTGCGTGCGCAGTAAAATCAGTTAAAATAATGCATTACCATTCATTTTAAATTTAAAAGATAAAAAGGACAGAATCTTTTAGATTTTTTAAAATTAATATTTCCTCACCATTTGCCTATATTACTTATTCTGAATCTTCTCTGCAAATTTGGTCAGTTGTTCCAAAATTACCCTGTATATAGGATACGGGTGACAAACGAGCATACAGTCTACCTGATGGTAAGTGGATGCTGTATGTAGACTTATCCTCAATTAAGAATCAAAATACAGATGCGTTGTCACCCCTGAGGACTGAGATGGAATGCCTATTTCTAGTAAAAAGGGTCTCCGGTTCTCTACACTTACCATACGAAACACAGTAGTATTAAGCTGCTATTTTATGCTGGTATTCTATGAAAGTGTGGTCCTTCCCCGGGTGAGCCAATTCGTGCTACAACCATAATATAGCTGCAGCGTGGCTCTACCCCATATAAATAAAAATGGTATCTAAGTCAGTTTCTCTAAAGTTTAGATTTATCCATAGTTACTTTTTTTTACACAGTTCACCTGATGGTAAGTGGTTGCTGTGGCCCATAGACATCTACATCTATCCTCGTTTGCGAATCAAAATGCAGATGCGTTGTCACCCGTGAGGACTAAGATGGAATGCCTCTTTTCCAGTAAAAAGGGTCACAGCAGTGTTAAGCTGTTATTTTAAGCTGGTATTCTGTGAGAGCGTGGTCCTTCCACCGTCGAACCGACCCATTCGTGCTACAACTATACTATCAATATAGCTGCAGCATGGCTCTACCACGTAGAAAGTACCACATATAAACTTACAACACATATTCAACCACAACTGTGTACGGTAGGTGATAAGACTCTCCATTTCAGTCTAGGTATCTGTTTATGTTGCTACCATCTTTCTTACTTCTGCTGCCAAGTAGCAGTGCGTCAGCTAATATAACTGCTGCAGTGTTCGGTATAAAGAGTACCAAGAGTCACTATAATTACAGTTTATCAGGTTTATCTTAGTCCTCAGAGATGACAATGCATGTGTAAATGGGACTTATGTTTGACGTTAAATTGGTTGCTACCAGCAACTGATTTAATATCCTTGGCTTAAATAGCCATTTACCATCAGTTGACTGTTTAGCTAGGTATCCATTAGAGACGGGGGGCGGCGATTATTTTTGTATATTGTGTCCATTACACAAGGCGGGCCGCGCTGCATAGTCGGATTTTTAAGTATAGGTCCCGTCACGTAAAAAGAATGCTGGCCTTGTACCTGCGCACTGAGCGATTTTTTGATCAAATTGGTGGTATGAAGGGGGCGGCGACGGGGTTCGTCAGTTGACCCACGCTTCCCGCGCTTCGTTTGCTCCCAAAAATACAGTCGCGCACACAACTTTCTATGCACGATGCGCGACGATGATTTTAAAAACAAAGGAAAGAAAAATGATTTATATTTATTGCTTTATGACTGAACTAGTGAACGAAAAGGTGAATATGATGGGAGAAAGGTAATTTCGAAAAATTGTACAGTAAAGTTAAAAGTATTGAGGAAGAATACCGAAAAAATTACCATGTGGTCGACCTGATGACGGAAACATTTATCATTCGCGTTGATGATGATGATTCTGATGACGGAAGCTCAAGCGAAAATGAAAGTGATGATGAAGTATCATCCAGTAACACCAACACACCATCGACATCTGGATTACATGTAACGCAAGACGATATAATGGACCACTGGGGGTATCACTCTTAGCTTAAGTTTTCTTGTTACAACCTACTTTATATTTTACGACAGAAATAAAAAATAATACTCAAGTAAATGTTATCTATTTTTAATTCCAACTTCTTCCAAAGTTCTAAGTAGCCAGTAAAGTACCTATTATGATTCTCCATCATTCATCATTACAGCCCTTCACAAGTCCACTGCTGAACATAGGCCTCCCCCAAAGAATGCCACAAAACACGGTCCTGAGCCACCTGCATCCATCGACTTCCTGCATGTCTTACCAGGTCGTCACTCCATCTCGTGGGGGGACGCCCTACACTTCGCCTACCGGTACGAGGCTGCCACTCGAGAACCTTTCTTCCCCATCGGTTGTCGGTTCTTCGAGCTATATGGCCGGCCCACTGCCACTTCAGCTTACTAATCCGTTGGGCTATGTCGGTCACTCAGGTTCTACTGCGGATATCCTCATTCCTAAGTTTATCACGCAGAGAAACTCCGAGCATAGCCCTCTCCATAGCTCGCTGAGCGACCTTGAGCTTCCTCATACGGCCAGCAGTGAAGGACCACGTCTCAGTTCCGTAAGTCATCACTGGCAACACGCACTGGTTGTACAATTTCGTTTTAAGGTTTTGAGGTATGTCTGACGAGAAGATGTGTCGTAGCTTCCCGAACGCTGCCCAGCCGAGTTGAATCCGTCGATTGACCTCTCGGTCGAAGTTGGACTTACCCAGTCGGACTATTTGTCCCAGGTAAACATACTCGTCAACAACTTCGAGCTTAGTGTTCCCAACAACTATCGGCATAGGTGTGACATGGACATTAAACATGATCTTAGTTTTGTCCATGTTCATCTTAAGACCTATCCGTTGGGAAACACTATTGAGGTCATTGAGCATAGTGCTTAGGTCCTCCAGCGATTCTGCCATAAGGACTATATCGTCGGCAAATCGAAGGTGAGTGATGTACTCGCCATTGATGTTGATACCGTATCCTTTCCAGTCCAGAAGCTTGAAAACGTCTTCCAATGCAGCGGTGAAGAGTTTCGGGGATATGACGTCACCCTGTCTTACACCTCTCTGCAATTGGATAGGTTTCGTACTCTGGTTCTGTACTCGGATAGCCATCGTAGCCCTACTGTACAAGCACTTCAACACTTCGATATACCGACAGTCAACTTGGCACCGCTGAAGGGACTGCAGCACCGCCCAAATTTCGACGGAATCAAAGGCTTTCTCATAGTCCACATACGCCAGACATAGTGGCAAATTGTACTCTTCGGACTTCTGTACAACTTGCCGAAGGGTATGTATGTGGTCTATGGTGCTAAAGCCTTTTCGGAAACCGGCTTGTTCGGGAGGCTGGAAGTCGTCAAGTCTGCGCGCGAGACGATTCGTAATGACTCTCGAAAACAGCACGTAGACGCGGCTCAGAAGGGAAATCGGTCTGTAGTTCTTCAAGAGAGCGTTGTCACCTTTCTTGAAGAACAAGACCACCGCACTTCTGCTCCACGCCTCCGGTGTAATGCCACCATGGAGGACGGAATTAAAGAGCTTCTGAAGGACTTCAAGTACCGGTCTTCCACCCGCTTTCAGAAGCTCCGCTGTAATTCCATCCTCGCCTGGGGCCTTACCGTTTTTAAGGTGCTGGAGAGCCATCCTAATCTCGCTCAGACTGACATCCGGGATATCTTCGGAATAGTGTCGGATGAGACTCGCTCTTGGATCGTTACTCACACTTGCGTGTGGCTCCAACGATGATGTGTACAGCTGCCCATAGAACCTCTCAATCTCACTCAAAATATCAGGTGTCCCGGAAACGATGCTGCCACATTCTGTCTTCAGCTTTGACAGTTGGCTCTTTCTGGCAGACAGATCTCTGGCAAAGACTTTGGAGCCTTGGTTCCGCTCGATCGCTTCTTCAATACGAGCTGTATTGAAGTTGCGTAAGTCCCGCCGTATGCATTTGGAGATCTGTCTGTTCAGATGCCTGTATGCTGTCAAGTCTGTTGAAGAATGTAGCTTCATCTCCCGTCTAACAGCCATGAGATTAAGAGTGTGATCGGAGAGTTTTTGTGTTCTTCTGCGGCGGGTCTTGCAGAACTTAGCTCCAACCGCATGGACAGTTTCCACGAGCTTGTCATTCATATCGTCCACTTCATTGCAGTCTTCTAGGCACTGAAAACGGTTTTGTAACTCGAGCTGAAAGGTTTCGGGACTTTGAAACAGAGCACGAGGGGGACGGAGCGTTGACTTCATTAGACGAGACCTCTCCAACTTAACGTTTAGGTTCAGTGTGCCTCTAACCATTCGGTGATCGCTACCAGTTTTCACCCTCGCGATCACGGAGACATCACTGAACAGTTGTCGTCTGGTCGTCATAATGAAGTCAATCTCATTTTTTGTGGAACCGTCGGGGCTCGACCAGGTCCACTTCCTGTGGGGCCGCTTCTGGAAGAAAGAGTTCATCATAAAGAGTCCCTCTTTCTCCATGAAGTCGGCCAGCTGCTGGCCCCTTGGGTTCCGTTGCCCTATTCCAAATTTCCCTACTTTCAGCTCACCGTTCTCTCCTGTGCCTAGTTTTGCATTGAAGTCTCCCATTAACACCGTATATTGGGTTTTGGAGGAATGCATGGCTCTAGAGATATCCTCATACATTTCCTCCACCTCCTCATCGGGGTGTGCCGAGGTTGGTGCGTAAACCTGTATGACCTTCAGCGAATACCGTTTGGTGATTCTGAGTATAAGGTACGCAACCCTCGTCGACACACTCCCGATTTTTACAACGTTGTTAACGAGAGACTTGTGGACGATAAATCCGACACCTCCTTGGGACAGATGGTCGCCCTCCCGGTGATAGAGCAAGTTGCCGGATTCGAGGATTACCGTGTCCTCCCCCTCTCTTCGGACTTCGGATAATCCTATAATATGCCAGCGCAACTTGTCTATCTCTTCTTCCAGCTCCACGATCTTCTCGTCAGTCCTCAGGGTGCGTGCGTTGTACGTTGCCAGGTCGAGTCGTCTAAGGTGGCAACCGAACCTCCACCGGAGATTCTTAGCACCCCCTGCCCCGCCGTTACCATGGTCGCCACCATAGCCAGGAATAGCGGGGCCGCCGGGGACTGGGGGCCGTCTCTTTGTTACTCTCTTCATAGGGGGGTATTTGCCATAGTTGCCACGCTTGGCGAGCGGGTTGGCAACCGCAGTTTTTTTATTGTCATTTGGCTATTATCAGGAAGATGCTGCTGCCCATCTCCTGGCTGTTTCCCTTTGTCGCCTTTTACGACACCCACGGGAGGATATGGGGTAGTGGATATTCTTGACCGCCACTACACGGCAATTATGATTCTACAATAAAACAATTACCCTTATATTATAAAATTATAGCATAGTACATCACCTCCATTGTCGCTCAGCGTTCTTTATACGTGACGGGACCTGTAGCTGTGACACGCGAGTAGTGAGACCATTTTAAAGATCTGATCAAGAATTATTTTAATTTTATATCTTGTTTGATAAACTTGATTTCATAATATATGTACGAAAGTAAGATTTTGTGGTGTGGTGAATTTCATCAAGTAAAATTCTTTGAGTATTTTCGCATGTTTTACGAACATTTTGAAAAATTAGATACCACTTTACATGAAGATCTACATAAGCAAACTAACTTCCCATTATTTTCCTAAGATAGGTCAATAAAAAATCTGTCCAGTTCCATCTCCGATGGACGTAGTTTCATACAAAATGTAGCAGACATATTTTTGCGATGCGGCCCGACGCGCCCGCTTAGTGGACGTATAGCATTAACTTGTATTAAACTAAAATACTTATTTTACTTTTCAGAAGCACTAATAAAAAAAACATACAAATTTGCTCTTAGCTGGTAACATTGGTTGTCCACTGGCTTCTGCTTTCATTCTTTCTAATTCTTCTTCTTCTAATCTCTTCTTTTCTTTCTCTGCTTCCTCTCTTGCTTTTTTTTCTTGTTCCCTTTCCATGGCCTTCTGTTTTTCTCTTTCCATTTTTTCTAAACCTGGTTATAAAGAAATTATGTGTTTTAATTTGATATTAATAAGTTCGGCAGAGCCATTGTAGTTGAGAGGTTCAGAGGTTTTACATTATGGTAAGTAACCGAATAGTAACTTTAAGTGGTGATTCACATCGTTCTCGGCGGTAAAGGATAACATCGTGTGGAAACTTGCATATCTAGCAGTGCAGCATATGATATGCCAATAACTGTCTCAGAAATAACAGTAGGTTATTTCCCAGCAGTGGGACTTCCTTTTACTTAAAATTAGGCAAAAAAGGAATATGAATAAAAGAAAATAACAACATTATGAGATACATATAGGTAACAGAGAAAAAAAACATGATGAGTAAGATGAAACAAAATCGACAATACTTAGATTGCTAGGTACAAGTCTAAAAGTACAACCAGTGTGTGTTGTCAGTGATGACCTATGGTACTGAGACGTGGTCCTTCACTGCTGGCCGTATGAGGAAGCTCAAGGTCGCTCAGCGATCTATGGAGAGGGCTATGCTCGGAGTATTTCTGCGTGATAAAACTTAGAAATGAGGATATCCGCAGTAGAACCAGAGTGACCGACATAGCCCAACGGATTAGTAAGCTGAAGTGGCAATGGGCCGGCCATATAGCTCGAAGAACCGACAACCGTTGCGGAAAAAAGGTTCTCGAGTGGTGGCCTCGTACCGGCGGACGAAGTGTAGGGCGTCCCCCCACTAGATGGAGTCACGACCTGGTAAGATATGCAGGAAGTCGATGGATACAGGTGGTTCAGGACCGTACTTTGTGACATTCCTTGGGGGAAGCCTATGTTCAGCAGTGGACTTGTGAAAGGCTGTAATGATGATGATGAAGTCTAAAAGTTATTTTTTATCATATTCGGCGAACATAACTATAAAAATGCGGTAGAGGTAACTAATTTGATTGTATTTTTTTAATGTGTTACTGTTACAGCCTATTAAACTCAACTGCTGAACTCTTTATTTGAACTCTTATATTTTACTGAACACTATATTTTGCCTCATAGGGGAATATCTGCCACGCTTGGCGTGCAACATGGCAACCGCAGTTTTTTATTATTAGTCGTTATTAGGAAGACACTGTTGCCCATCTTCTGATTTGTTTCCATCTGTCGCCTCTTACGACACCCACGCGATGATATGGAGTTATTCTTACACCACCAGTGCATGGTCAAATTTACTACAGTACTTTATTAATATGTGTAACATGGTATCTTGGAGGTTATATACATTTATTTATTTAACCAATATAGTTGATTTCTTGATTTGCCAATAGTGTATACTATCAATAGTCTCACAAATTTTAAGCGTCAAATAATAACATAATAAGATTTATTTTTGATTGAAAATGAAATGAAAAGCTATAATGATGAATTACCTTCTCTTATCCATGCAGGAAGCTGTCTTCTCTTAGCAGCATCTATAGTTGCTGTAGTTCCACCCATTGCAGGCATCTCAATATGATTCATTACTGTAGGTATCACTGGAACTTTTTCTCTGTGAATATAATGAAGTTAATCTTTATATATAAAAATTACGTGTCACGTTGTTTGTCCGCGATGGACTCCTAAACTACTGAACTGATTTCAATAAAATTTTGCACACTGTATGCATTTTGGTCCAACTTGAAAGATAGGATAGTTTTTATCGCGATAACCCTCAAAATTTTTTATTGCGAATTTAAGGATTTTTATAGGAAGGGTCGTTGGAAAGGGCAGAACAACGTCTGCCTGGCGAGCTAGTGTTATTATAAAAAACATAAGCATAACAAACATAAACACTACGTTATGCAGTCGCGCGTAGCTGACTAGCTGTATAGCTTATAGGCAACGGGCAACGGTGGGAGCGAGACTATGAAGTTTCGTATTTTGTTAAATAAACTGTCATACAAATATTGTTGTACTTCATGGATGGTTACCGCCCACTTACGACTGTGATGTAGACGAATATGCAGTGTTTCCGATGCACGGACGATAAATTAGTCGTTAGTCAGCTCAGACAAAAAAATTATAAAGCAATTTACGCTTTGTGTCAAAAAGACTTTTTCACAACTCATGGCGGCCAAAATAGCTACAAAAAACTTATTTTTTATTTTTTTTCATTAGATTTATCACCCAAATTCTCGATTATTTTAACCTTCCATCGCGCTAGCAGTCGTACCTTGAAAAGCTGCCCGAGCAGTCTACTAGGCGTGTGTAACTCTTTACGGAACCGGCTCACTGATCCGAATCACTGAAGTGATGCAAAAGATTGGTTCAGTAACAATGTTTCAAACGCATCATTTGGATCTGAAACATTACGTTGCTCTGTGCTCATTTCGCGCGACGCGTCGCTCTCGTGGCTCTCGAGGCGACGGCAGACTGAGCCGCAAGCGAGAGAGACAGACTGAGACACTGAGTAACTTAACTATTGACTCGCGATTGGCGAGTGAGCGGGCGAAATAATTACAATCTATACAAGTCATAAAGAGATAACAAATGAGAAGCGTATCACTCAACTCGTACAGATTTTCGCTGTCGTTATTCATGTGCGTAAAAATGACCACTGAGGCGCTTACGCATCAAATACTATACAGTCGTTTTTAATATACATAGGCTGCACTAAAAGTATCGGGAATGGAATATTTCCCCTGTTCCTGTCATATTAAAATCTTTTTAATTGAAAAGTCCTTGGTTTTAAAAATCGAATACCATTTATTTATTTAAAAAAAGATTCTCGGTCTTGTCACAAGGTTTTGTCAAACTTGTTTAGTCGTTGAGAAAATGGAATTGACTCGAGAAAATTCAAGAGCGATGATTTATTATGACTTTCGAAGTGGTTTAATACAAAAACAGTATGTTGACCGGATGATTTCTGCATTTGGTGATGAAGCCCCATCCAAAACCACAATATATCGATGATTTGCTGAATTTCAACGTAGACGTGTCAAGCTCAGTGATGATCCCCGTCAAGGTCGTTCAAAAACTGCAGTCACCCAAGAAAACGTTGATGCTGTGCGTAAGCTGATTGAGGAAGATCGACATGTGACATACCGCGAAATTCAGGCAACTTTAGACATTGGCATGAGTTAAATACAAATAATCTTGCATGAACAATTAGGTGTAAAAAAGTTGTTTTCCCGATGGATACCGCATTCGCTCTGTGAAGAGCAAAAAGCGGCTCGCGTTACTTGGTGCGTCAGAACTCTCGAAAGATTCCACGCAGGATCCTCAAATGCTGTATACAACATCGTATCAGGTGACGAATCCTGGATATACTCGTACGAACCCGAAACAAAAAACCAGTCACGAGTTTGGGTGTTCGAAAATGAGTTAAAGCCAACAAAAATTGTTCGTTCACGGAGTGTTGCAAAAAAAATGGTGGCCACGTTTGTCTCCAAAACCGGCCATGTTACGACTATTCATCTTGAGGGACAAAGAACGGTTAATGCAGAATGGTATGCTAGCATTTGTTTGCCACAGGTCGTTTCTGAACTCCGTAAAGAGAACTGCAACCGCCGCATCATCCTCCATCACGACAATGCGAGTTCTCACACCGCATACAGAACAAAAGAGTTTTTAGAGCAAGAAAACATAGAATTATTAGACCATCCGCCGTATAGCCCCGACCTAAGCCCTAATGATTTCTTTACTTTTCATAAAATAAAGAATAAATTGCGTGGACAGAGATTTTCATCACCTGAAGAAGCTGTGGACGCCTACAAAACGGCCATTTTGGAGACCCCAACTTCCGAATGGAATGGTTGCTTCAATGATTGGTTCCATCGTATGGAAAAATGTGTCAAATTTCGCGGAGAATACTTCGAAAAGCAATAAATACATTTTTAAATAATAATGTTGTGTCACTTCCTTGATTCCCGAAATTTAGCCATAAATTAAGGACTAGCCGCCAGTCCTGAGACTGGCTAAAGTATGAAGGAGGATCGATTTTATATACAATCGTATTACATCTCTAGTAGACACGCCAAAAGTGTAAGCTGTCACCCGTGCTAGCTATCATGATATAACGCAAAGACCATAGTTTTTGTTACCTTGTTTAATTGTTAAGTGGTTTTGTTAATTTGTTGAGGTTTCTTCACTGTTTTAAAATGGAACCAGCGCCGTCTACCTCGCGTCTATTCAAGGAGTTTGTTTCTCCGCGGAAGAAAAGAAATTTGTCACACTTTAGTGTATCTGAGAAAATAATGATTATTGACGTGTTACGTATACGTTAAAGAATCCTGGCCTACTGATAAATATCCTTCAAAAAAAGAAATGAAGGACAAAATAGCCGATATCTTAGACATTTCGAAATCGGCCATATATCGTACTTTAAAAGAATATACCGAAACAGACACCGTTAAGCCAGCTGCATCACCGAAAAAACGACTTTCATTAATTTGGGGGACGAGGCTGCTCGCGTCCGTAGGAAATACTTGAAATCTGACACCCTACACGTGTCCCCCGGGTAGTGTTAAACGAGCAGCACATTGGTGCTTCTCGTCTAACACTAATAATAATTATGGTGGTAGATTTCGGCCACTGGCTTTTCGGTTACCACCCACCAATGCAAAGTCTTGTCGCCAAATGACGGTGTCGTGTTCCGGCATGATGCTTGGTGAAGCTATATGGAGAATGGGTGTGAACAGTAGCGTTGTGTATGTAAATCGGGTACGAAGCGTCAGTTGTTGCTGTGGCGTGTGCTTGGTCGTGGAGGATAGCGGGATCCGAAGCATGGTGTTCTGCTAGCCGACCGCAAGTAGTTGGGGGCCCAATTAGTGAATTAGCTACTATTTAAAGGCTGCCCCGCCAACTAGCGAAAAATCCCAGGGTGGCCCGTGACGTGACGGTTAGCGACCGGGCGAGAGGGGGGTTCGGGCGTCCCCGCAGTCTTCAGATAAAGTTCCCATGGGTACAGTAACTCCGATAGTATCGTTTGGTTGCTAATGCAACGCCTCATTCAACTGCTATTCTCCATCCTTATTCACTATCAACATTTAATATGTACATTAAAAAGAAAAGTAGTGTTAAAAAGCGGTTGCACTTCCTCTCACTAAAAGTGCACCTCACTAATATTCGAGGATTGCACTCTAATCTTAGCGCAGTTCATCACCATCTTGAGACTGAGAAGCCGCGCTTACTTTTCTTGACGGAGACGCAAATTGGATGTCCATTGAATGCGGCGTACCTTGACTATCCTGGATTCTCCCTGGAGCACAAATTCCATCCACGTGCCGAAGTATGTGTTATTAAGTATATGTATATGTTGAGAAAATCCTTTATGCCTGTGTCTATCGATCGCACAGCGGTGACCACAAGACAACACGATTATTTGACCACCTTAGTTAGGCTGCTGACGTGGCCCTAAATATGTATCCTACTGCATAGTTGGTCTTTCTGGGGGACTTTAACGCTTGTCACCAAGACTGGCTGTACCCATACCAGAAGACCGACCATGCTGGAAGAGAAGCGTGGAATTTCGCTTTGACTTTCTCGTGGTACCTGACGGTCACACAGCAAATTGCTTGGACCTTCTGCTGACTACCGAACCAGACAGATATGAAGTACAGATTACCTCTCCTTTGGGTACATCTGATCACTGTCTGGTGAAATCTGTATCGTCATATTCTCCACCTGATTACGAATCCCAAGGTGTTCGACGAATATGGCGGTGTAAGTCAGCTGATTGGGATGAGATGCGACACTTTTTTGCATCTTATCCTTGGCGGGAGGCCTGTTTCTCTTCTGTGGATCCGTAGAGCTGCACGGTTGCGATAACGGATGAGTTGCGTCAAGCTATGGAGTATTTTATTCAGTTCTCTGACACTTCCACCGGTAGCAAAGCTCACCCATGGTATAACACTGAATGCGCCCAAGCTGATAAGCGCAAGCATTCAGCGTACCTATCCTCGAAGGTTAACGCTCGAAACCGTAAAGCTCCGGATATTAGCTCCAAGAAGAGAACTTTCAACCAGACCGCCAAGTCCTACAAAAAAGCATCACGGAAAGCTAGTCTCGATCGCATTAAACATATTGGCGCAAAACTCTCTGCCAGACCATACGGCACTAGAGGTTTTTGGTCTCTCGCCAAAGCGGTAGAGACAAACTTCTGTCAGCCTACATTGCCTCCGCTGGTAAAACCGGATGGCACACGTGCGCATACGTCTAAAGAGAAAGCGGACTTGTTCGTGTCTCTCTTTGCCTACAATTCACGTCTGGACAGTGGCAACAACGACCTGGACTGGACCTGGACAGTGGCTCTATGTCGGAGGTTCGTATAACAAATAAGGAGGTTCTTAAAACCTTGCGGTGTCTAGACGTGAATAAAGTTAGTGGACCAGATGGTATACCAGCTATAATTCTAAAGGCTTGTGCACCTGAGTTGTCTCCTATGCTGACACGCTTGTTCCGCCTCTCATTTAGGATTGGAATAGTGTCAAAATCCTGGAAGCTGGCCAACGTGCAGCCTGTTCTAAAAAAAGGCAGCCGTG